TCAGATATTTTCTTTAGAGCAGTGTTTTAAGGTCACTTTCTTATTCTTAAGTAGCAGTAATTTGAAGGGATTATCTTTTGGCAGGGGGCGAGAAGGTGTCAGCAAATGGTGGACTTCTTTAGTCCTTTTCTATCTCAGTTAATTACAGACAGAAAGGGACAGAAGAGGATTCACTTCTTCCAAAGTCAAAACATGTTTCCACAGTGGCCTCCTCATAACAGCCCAGCAGGACATAAGTGTTCCTGAGCTTGAACTTTATTGTACTGAGAGCATGTCAGTCAGATATTTATTTGCCAATTTTGTCTTGCCCTATTTCCCATCTTTGGTCTGTCTCCCTCTGCTGTTGCCATTTTAGTTGGTAAGATGAATCTTTTGCTCTTTGTCTGTGTGTGTGTATTAAGAAAAATAGAAGAGAGGGGTGTTGCTGGTTTTACATGCTCATAAAACACAGGCTTTAGACAAGATGGAAAAGACAGTTCAGGCTTTTTTCTATGTTCTGAGTTTTAGGGCTTGAAGGAAGGTGATGCTTGAGAGAAAAGTGTTTATTTTTTGCAAATATACACATTTAATGTGAGCCAGTGTTGTAGATATGATGTTGCTGTAACTATAGTTCATCTTTTCCTGTAAGGTGGAAACAGCGGGAAGAAGGAAAGAAGTTGTTTACAAAAAGAGCTGCAGCTCCTTCTCTCCACACTCTCCCTCCTCCCTAATGTGTTTTGTTTGCTTGAATATAGTCTGTATTCTGTGATTGCAGAAGACACAGTCTAGAAGCATTTTGCTGTACAGAATATGTTTTCAGAGGGCTTCAGTGGTGTCTGGCATTTGTCAGGCTGCTGTGAGAAGTTCTTCAATAAATAAGCAGAACAGTAAAGTTACTATTAACAAAATGGTCCTAAGGCAACTCCCCCTAGTCACCTCCTAATTTCCAAATGGGCATGCCTTTCATTGCCACTCTTTGTGCATGAATTCATGCATGGTCATGTGTGTTGAACCGCAGTGACATTATATCTTGCAGCCACGCTGGTGATGCCTTGTGTGGGAGTTACTCATGTGGAAGAGTGGTTTATGTAATCTCTCCATTCCTGCCCATGGGCTGGGAAAGGAAGAGGGCCAGAAGGAATGGAAGAGATTTATGAATGCTATGATGTGTCCACGTTTTTGCTGTCACTTTAAGTGACTGTATTTTCTTAATGTGGTACCGGCATTAATAGCTGAACAAGCAGCAAGAAATAGTGCAAGAGGCTCTTACTCATACTCACTTGTGCTGTAAAATCATTTTCTCTTCTTATTGCTTTGATAAAATAAGCTGTCAAATTTACGTTTCAGTTGTTGACCAATTTAACTTGAATAGTCCATGAGATTATTGGAATTGTCTGTCTTCAGTTTTGTTTTGTATAATTTTACTAACTTTGTAACAGATCTGGGTGATGTTTATGGAAAGGTCACTATATCTCTGTTCAATGACTTATTCCTTTGACCTGATTAGAGTATCTCCATAGATACCCACTTCTGATTAATCTTCAGTTCTTACAGCTGTTTTTATGTGCTCTAATCGTGACTGTGCCAGAATTGAGCTTGGAGATCTACCCGCAACATTGCCCTAACTTTCTTGACTTTCATCATCAATATTTCTCTCTGTTTTTGCTGTTCTACTGTCAGCTGGATGAACAGCTTAGTCATTCTTTCTATTCAACCGGATATCCTTTTTCAAGCCTTCTCACTGCCTATTTCTCCTTAAGGCTCTTTTTGTATGCTTTAGAAATTGCATGTCAGAGTAAACTCCTGAAATGCAATCAGAAGTCTACCAGAGGAATATGATGGACATGGTTCTTCTGACTCACTAGTGCCTCAGAGAAAATTTAATCTCAGTAAGAAGTGCTTCAGAGCCTTTTCTTTTTGAGTTTTCCTGGAAACAAACAAAATATTCAGGAGAAATTTTCTTTCTACTTAAAATCATGAAACACTCATGTATGAACTTCTCTCTGGTGCCAGAGGTGATCTGTTTAAACACTGATTGATGTATCTGTTTCTTTTCTTCCCTTCCTTTTCTGAATTTTGCTAGATCCTCTGTAACTTTCTTTAAAATCAGGTTACTGATGAAAATTCCAAAAATCTGTATATCTTCCTGAATGACTTCCATCCATTACTGTCTCCCTTATTTTTATTTTACTAACAGTGAACAGTATTCTATTTGGGTGCGGGGGTTTTTTTTTAGCAATGGTGTTTTTTCTGTGCTGAGATCCTCTTCTAAGAGAAAAAAGAGAGATACTTCAACATTTTATAACATCCAGAGTAACAAACATTCATTCTTAATTGTATAATGTGTATCTTTGGAAGAAATCATTCCTGGCAATTGCAATGAACTTTTCATAATGTGAACATATGCACAAGTGAAGTCTTCCTCATTATCAAAAGCATTTTTAAGGACACAACATACTGCCTATGAATTATAATGGGCACATGTTCTGTTCAACAGAAGAATAAATAGATTTCAAAATGAAGAAGGGAATAGGCTATGGTGAGGAAAGCCGCAAGAGTCAAAACTTGTGGGTTATGTTTCAGACTATGATTTGCTGTGTGTCTTTTGGAAAACCACTTATTTTCTCTGTTTATAGGTGTAAAACAAAAATTTTTCCAGAAGTATTTATATAAAAAAAAAGTTTAAGCTTTTATGTGATCAAATGGACAGATACAAGTGGTACTCTGCAGGAGTAAAATTATATAATCCCAGATTTGCAGAGAAAGTATTTCTCAGGGCTGTTCCAGGTTTTCAAAGATCTTTCTACTAAAAGGTAAGTAACATTATGGAAGTGAATTTTCTGAGTTTTCAGCAGTGAATTTGATTGTAGCTGTTTTCTTTATGAGGCTGACAGATGTCATGTTCTTGTTTTTTCCTCAGAGTTCTTCCTGTCAGATTCTTAGCTTGGTGTTAGGCAAGATGAGCTAAAAGCAATTACTTTGCAAATCAAATTTCTTTAATGATAATTTAATCCATCTTTCTTCTACCAATCACCAGCATTTCTAGGTCAGTAGCACCCTGACTGTGCTGAATTTGAGTTACGCATCGGATAGTAGTTTCTAGCACTTTTGATACAAGACTGGCTGTAAGTCATTTCCTGGGGCATAACTTGTTAATGGCCTTAGCAAGTAGCTTATGTCATTAAAACTTTTATGAAATTATATGAAAGTGCTGAACAGAGCTCTATGTTCTTTGTTCTGTCTAATCTCTTATAAGTTTTTCTAAGATGTCAGTCATTGTGCTATCTAATATATTAGAAAGAAAAACAAGTCATTTCAAAATGAACTTCCAGTCTTGCTGCCCCAATTCCACTTGCTTCTTTTGCTGTTACAATGCCCATCTGCTATGGACAGATGCTCAGGTGGGTTTCAAGAGGCTTACTGGACTGTCTTTCCACGAGAGGCAAGCTAATGTACCAACACACCTGCTTTTACCTGTGGGTTTTCAGGAATATAATGCAAGAATCTTCAGCCAAGCTGGCTGCTACAGACATCTTTGGACTTGGGCCTACCTTTACCATAATGTTTGTCACCATACAGGAGATCGTGGGATCAATCAAAGTAATGGTAGTGGATTTCCCTAGGATTTTTTTTTTTCATTCATCAGATCTCCCAAAATTATTGCTCTTTTAGAGAAATAGCAGCCCAGCCCCAGTCAGGGCAGGCTGGCTGCTTCCTGCTTCCTGGCCAAGACTATGAAGTTGGAATTTGACTAACTGCATCAAGATCACCTAAGAAAAGCCACTGAGATCTCAACTGAGTGACAAAGAATAAGGAAGAGCTGAGAGAGGAAGACCTCCAGGGACTGTAGCACAGGAAGCAGAATTATTCATGTGATAGTTCTGTCTGAGATGCAGCTCAGTTATCAAATTCAGTTGAATGTTTCCTGGGTTTGTGCTGATGTGTTTTATGGACTTACATTTTATGGAGCATTTAATCCAAAGAGTCAATGACTTTTGTCAATGCCCACAACACTCCCAGTATTGATGGGAGCATTGTAGCAGCATGTGTCTTTGTGTTAAAATCCCAATTAAAAATGCAGCCCCCCCTTTTAATAACACAATTGAATGAATACAGATAACTTGCATAAACGCCTGTATAAAACTCACCACGGTTTTGGCAGCTGAATAAGAATTGAAGGCAGATGTGATGACAGAATAACTTTTGAGAGCATAGTAAGATTATCTTCCAGGGAAATACACCACACTAAAAGCCATGGGATCTGAGAAATTAAATCATGATTTCTTGCAGGATTAAGAGCAGTTTGCATGGGATAGCAGTAAGTTCAACACAGCTTTTGATCGGGTAGGATGAATAAGTGCTGCTAACATATAACTATTGATGAGTAATTGTAGAGTTTAAAGCAAGTGCTGTGTTTTCCATTGAAAGTGAAAGTGAGAACAAATATATCTAATATATCTAGTGGTCCTTACAGGATAGTACCCCAACTGTGATCAGTAGCATTTGCTTATGGAGAGCACAAGAACTATATATGCATAAAAATGTTCCTTCTGTAGTATGTTCTGATCCTGATTTGCTCCAACATCTGCTGTCGGTCAAAGATTTCAGGAATTCCTTTATCCGGAACCTTCTGAAATTTATCTTTGTACTGTTGCACAATGTTTGATATTCCAGTTCAAATACAAGCTTTTAAACTATTAGCATTTACCTGTACGTGACTGAAAAGTATGACACAATGGAGTCATCTTGTCATTAAGGAGTAGAACCAGTTCTCAGGAGATCTGGTTCCACTGTGGGCTTGTCAGGTCAAGATTACAAAACTCAGCCTTTCTGTGCCTTTTATACTTAGTAAAATGGGTATAAACATACCTTTGATATTTCCCTTTTTTATTTTGGGATGTACCATGCTTAACAATGTGATTTTCATTGGAGGCTATAATATTACTGTCATAGAAACAAAAAGTCGTTGAAAATCCAATCATGATACAGTACTAGATTTTCTCGCCTCTCTCTCCCTCTAGATTTTTAGAGTGTGCGATATACAGACCCTTTCACTGCTGCAGGTCTTCCATGATAATCAAGGGAGTCCTGGAGAGATGGAGACCTCTGCCATGGTATTTGACAATGTTCATGGCACACTTATCACCGGTATGTTACTACAGTTGATGTGTGAGAGCGTCCCCCTTCTCCTAGAATGCGATTTGCTTTATGATTACGTACAACTGAAGCTGAGTACAGGAATAAGGTATATGAGATGTACAGAATACTGGAACATAAGGGTGTTTGCACATTAAGACCATTTTAAAGTAGGTCTTGTTATACATGGTACTAATTTCAATATAGAAATATGCATGAAAATATGCAGCATGGGAATTAATAGCAGGAACCAGAGGAAATGAGAAAGGCTTCTCTGAAGGCAAGATGAGCCTTCCTCAGAAAAATGAAACTACAGATATTGCTCTGTAGCCTTGCTATTTCTTGAAAGCTACTAAGCTGATAATCTTCCCCTAACTATTCCTCTAGCACCCTCCTCCCATTTGGAGATCAAAGCAGCAAAGCATAGTCTCTGTGGAGCCCTCACAAGTGTCTTCAAACTCCTTATTTAACTCAGCAGCTACAGAGAGCCCCACAATCTGTGGTGTCAACAGATGCACTGTCTGATTGATCAGGAATGAAATATTGTGGGAACTCATCCCAAGGTTTCTGGGCATTATCTCCTGACTCTGTAGCAGGGAGCCTGGAACCTCCAAGGGACCAGAGCTTCGCTAGTGTCACTAAGGATGTTAGCCTTCTGTATCTAAGGCAGAGACTCTGGAAACTGGCAGGGTTTGTCTGCCCCAGAGACAGAGAAAAAAAAACAGCTTTGAACCTGTTCTGGGGCTATAGAGGCCTGAGAGACACCAGGGAAATAAGGTCATTGTCTTTGGAGACAGCTTTTTCTGTCTTTGGATTAGGAACAAGGCACAAAGCTTGCAAAGCTTGTCAAATCTGAGAAGATGAATGTGAAACATTTTGTTTTCAGTGACCTGGTAGTTTCTGCTGAATCTTTGTGCCGATAAACTTGTTTTAGAAGCCTAAATATATACATTGCACTAGAGTCCACAAACTGTTATATGTATTTAGGCATTTGGTAAGCACTGCAAAGCTTAAGAAACTTCAGCTTCTAGGTCTTATTTAAAAAATGCCCAGAATATTAATCAGTCTAGTTTTTAAAGATTTTTAATCACTAAAGCATACAGATACGATCTTCAGTTCAAATTTAAGTTAGTGAGATTTTCAAGGTTTAGTAATGTAGGGATTTTACATGGATAAATCCTTGACAAAATGAGGTAATTTTGCCCTTATAAAAAATGACTGGAGCAGTGCCTAAATATCTGTAAAAATCTGGTCCTGGACTCTGTTAATAATTCCATTAAAAGGCTAAGTGAATGACTCCTTGCCCCTGAAGAGGGCAAGAGATTGAGGCTATATGTGGGCAAATTAATTCTCATTGCTATGTACTTGGCTTTACAGAGGAGATTTTCAGTTATTAGTTCACTAACATCCATAAATCACGGCTCACCTTCATGCTTCATCTGAATATTGCCATAGCTTTCCTTCTGTGCCTTTTTCCAAGCTGCTGGCCTCTAGGCCTGGACTTATGCCAAGTATTAGGCAATTTCGTCCTTTGCTGCATACTCACTGCTGACTGCTGCTCCTCTGCTGGTAGAACCGTAGTAATACTGGAACTACAATAGGAGGCTGCATGTGTAGCCTGGCTTGTGAGTCTGCATTGTAAAAACCTTGTCCTCTTTTGTCTTGTTGTCCCCACCTGCCTCTCTGTCTTTGCAACCCTTCTGATCCGAGAGCACTGGAAGGTGTCTGGAAAATACCGTTCTGACCTGCAGTGCTGTACAAAGGAAGGTACTGGAAAGACATCACCATTGCCTGAAGACAGAATTGCTTTATCTTGAAGAAAGTGGATACCAGAATTTATTTTAGTGATATATCTGCCAATTAAAGTTTTATTTATTTGGGTCCATTCCATTCCATGCCAACCCACTCTGGGACTGGGGGAATTTATGGCTCCTCATGATTTCGAGTCAAGGTATCAATCCCTTCAAAGGTGGGCAGATGGTCATTTAAGGCAAGTAAATACTTAGCCATTGCTTAACTGGTGCTTTGTGGGGAGCATGTGTCAATGTTTTCTTGTTTAGAGAAAAGATATTCTCAAGAAGTGGACAATATTCTTTATCCTCTTCACAAGAACTCAAATGGACCCTATGGTTTACATAAAATCCTTTTATATCCAGGGAAAATAACTGGTACTATATACAAAATGTATATATTCTCACTCCTCTCACCCTGTGCAGGTTCAGCTGTCATTGATATCTATCCCCTAACTCATATGATACAAGATACGAGACAGGTGCCACAGACACATGAGAAAAGCATCAATGTTCTGATTTACAACAGGCCTTTTCACCAGATTCTCACTATCTGCTCTGAGTCAATACTGAAGGTGGGTGTAAACTGTCACCATTTCAACTGAAAAAGAAAAGTCTCAGCTTTTTTTATCACAAACAAGTTACTGGGCAATTAGATAAGTGATTAGTGTTTGTTATTCAAAGTATTGGTTTTGTGGCTATTTTTGTGCTCAAATTCTCCAGGGAAGTGGTAGCCATGATGAATAAACTATTTGGTTTCAGCAGCATCCCTTTTCTCAGATAACTACTTCCCTGACCTACACTGACATAATTGCACTGCAAGCACCAAGCAGATTGAGCAAGCCTTTGGAGGTACTGGATTTAGTTGTAATTCTATTTCCTTTGGCTGAACAGGTACACTTCATCTGTTCCTGCAATGGATTCTTGCAAGTATAGCAATAATAGTGGAAGTCCATTGGCTATTTAGTAGCTACAAAGGAAAATTTTAACTGCCATGATGTCACACTGTGCATCCAATCAACAATTCATGCAAGCACAATTACACATTATTCATTAATTCAAAAGGTATATCTGATAAGCTTCTCTTTAAAGTTTAGGCAGTGCTTGAGTCCCAGTCAGCTTAGTAGAATATAAAAGTGAACTTTAGACATTCTGTGGATTGGTATAAAACATGAACAAAGTCACTTTGTAAAAACAGGACTGTGTAAAAGAAGCTGCTCTCAGATAAAAAAATTCCTTCACTAAAATTGAAATGTTTCATTGGCACATACAGTGTGCCTAAACTATAAAACCTGACTTTTTATCATCCTGTTTTGCTTCTTATTCTTTTGTCTGATCTGCTTCTATTTGACTAGCAGTTCTGAAGCCAATTTGCTGACCTTCTGTAGAGCCTTTTCTCATTCAAATGATTTCCTAGAACATGTTGTTCTGAGCCTTCAGGATTTCAAGTCATACAGTGAGGGAGAAGTGTTGAATCTAATAGGCAGTTAACAAGAAAAATGAAGTGATGGAGATCACTTTTATCACTTTTTATCACATCTCTGTTTGTGTTGAAACATTAATGAAAAGATTACACTTGCCTACTAACTACCATTTACAATTGAACCACTAAAAAACAGTTGCCATGCAAGTGTCAGAAAACCCACAGATGAATAAAATTAATCATTACTGGTGTCATTAATAATGCAACTGATCATCAGAGGTCCGAGGACCTGCAGTTTCCATCAACTGTTGATGGGGTTAGATGGCAAGATTAGTAGGGAGAGGGAGCATCTCTTATTGGGCCAGCTGGTGATGCATGCCATTTCTGTGGCAAAAGGCTTGTTTGTGTAAAGGTTTGGTCATTTTATACACTCAGAAAAGATGTTATTTCTCACGGTAAATCCTGCCTTCCTTAGACCACAATGGCTACAACACCATTACAGTTACAAGATAGTTTTGGGAAATTGGTGCTGCAGAAAATAAGATCCAGACAGTGCATATGACATGAGTAGCTACTTCATAAATCCAGTTGAATCTGAGCTACCCCACTACAGCGACCAAACTTTGTACTGGTAGTTCATTGTAAAGCATTGCTTAAATTCCCAAAAGGATTAGATAATGATCAGATATCGGTGTTTCTACATTTTTTGGACCAAATGTTTATGAAAAGCCTCATTTTGATATTCAGCATAGAAATTATAGCTCAAACCATTCTTTCTAGTTAGATTCCTTTGCTTTTGCACTGTAAAAACTCGTTATATTTAATAACAGCCTCTCTGATTTAACAAGGGTCTTTCTCATAGCATACTAAACAGAGCCTCCCCTTGCCAGAATGGCTTCTCTGTGGAGAGGGACATTTTCAGGGAAATCACACTAGTATTTCAGTAAAAGAGCATGGTAGTATGCTATTGTAACAGAGAACCTATTTCACGGGATGTGAGAATTTGCTCTTGGAAGCATTCGTCTTTCTCTGTGTACACTAGAACATATTGTGTGATGAGTTTTAGAGGATGTAGTACAAATAATTACCATCTTATTTTTTCAGGTCTGGGACCTAGAAACTGGATATCAAATATATCAAATTGAAGATGCACATGGGCTGAATACTGAAGTGACCTGTGCAGCCATTGAAAGAAATGGTTTTTATCTTGCTACTGGGGCAAGTGATGGTAAAGCAATTAAATAATTACCACATTTTTATTACATTTATTTAAAATGACATATTACAGGAGCAAACAGAACTCTCTGACTTTACTGTATCAGTGACAGAAGAACAAATTTTGGCTTTCTTCCAAGGTGGGAGGAAGTATGAACAGAAAGGAATGCACAGCTATCAGTCTGGGGAAAAGGGCGGGGGGGGCGTTATTTGATAGGTGATTCATAGAAAGGTGATTTTTGGCTGCTTGGGCTCTGGTACTTTGCTAGCCTATTGCTCTCTGGAAGACTATCTTCAAAGCTCTTGGCCTGAAAAGATGTTTCCTCATAGGACTTGGGACCTAGATCTGTAACTAAATGGCTGCAGATGGAGAACAGTAGTTTTTCAATTTTATAGTATCTAAGGTCAATTTTGTACTGTCTGCAGGCACTGAACACTAGAATATATATATCTACATGTTTCCTGAATTTTTCACGTGTTATTTAGGGTGCATCAATTTTAGGTAATGTGACAAGACCGAGAAGCAAACTTGCAGCAAACTTTAATAATTTTGTAATCTGTTAACATGACTGAATAATTCTTCTCACATTCAAATGTTCAAGAGTACACACCTGAAGTTAAAATATAGGAAATATATGAAAGCTGCCTTACATAAAGAGGAGATGGTCTTTTCCACACAGTATACTGACTAATGTTTCTTGTTTGTACTTCAGAGCAAAGACTGCACCCTTTATGGATCTTAAGAGCACAACAGAAGGTGAATGCTATCAAGTCTCACAAAAGTGAAGTCATATGTAATAACTGCTTCACTTAAGATAATGCTGTAGCTCCCTCTCCCCACTAGCTCCGTGGGACAAGTCCAGCAACCAGGTCCCTCTGCTCCTTGCTGTAGCTCAGAACCTGAAGTCTTCTCCCTGACAGCCCACATTCTGCTTGCTCTTTAATGACGTTAGTCCAGAAACAGAAGTAAGATAGGCAGTGGTCTTTCATCCTGGGCTGCAGCAGAAAACAGACATGGAAAAAAGATGGAAAAATGGTGGGGCTAGTGGTAAAGATAATTTTCTGGTAAGTTTTGTGTCCCTAAGGGTGCTTTCCTAAGAAATACACATACTGTTACAGCTTTTGAAAGACCAGTGACCTAGCTCTGAAAAAGATTTTGGCTAAAGGATTTTTTTTTTTTTTAATAAAACTACTAGATTAAGACAGTGGCTGCTTTAGAACTGATACAAAGAAATTAGACAGTAATAAATCAGATTGACTTGCTTGTCTTGATTTTGAGAGTCTACTCGGTGTCCCCTTCAGCTAAAATTAACATGATGCATTTGGAGCTCACAATAATTGTGGTTTCATGTCTCAGACAAACATGTTTCTGTAGAATTTTCTTCTTCAAACTGGAATATTTTACTTGGAAAAACACTCTCCTCCTGAAACTTTAAATCCACTATGTGCAAGGGAACAAAGGCTGTGGGGAGAAGTAATAAGTTTTACTAAACAGATGATACGTTTAGGAGAAAAAAAGCATACAAGCTCTCATCTTGGTAAATAATTTATTACTTTTGAGCCTCCTGCTAATAAAAAGCTGGTTTATGCAGGGTTTGCATTTGATATTCAGATTTTTCTGAAATATTATATCACACCAATTGCCCCCCAGTGTTATTACTGAAATTGTAAAATCATTTATGCAATGTAAATTTATCCCTTGACAAACAGGTTGGTAAGGAGTTGAATCTCCTCCAAGTCTTTATGAATCTAAGTACATGAATACTGTTTCACATAATTGCAGAACTATTTTTTTATACAAATATTTCAGTGACAATGAGAAATACAGGTTGTTATTATTATTACCTTTTTAAGAGGTTCTGAATACGGTAGTTAGCAAGGTAAACTTGAGTAATGCCCCAAAACCAGTTCATCCTTTGCAGGAATCTACTATAGATCTCTCAATTTTTAGTCCTTCCCCCAAGGCATTTCTTGTTTGATACACTTAATATCATAAGATTTACTAAAATCTTAATCATTGCTTCATTCTGGAGTTCAAGACATCTATGAAAACAGTAGAAAACCTAAGGAGCTGATTTCAATCCCAAAACGGACAGAAATATCAAAGTTCAAGCAGAAACTACATACTGAAGTGATTTTATTATAGTTGGAAAAACTGTCAAGGTTACTCCCAGTAGCCTCTAGGCACAATGGGGAGGAATCAATGACTCGAGGCCATGGCTAAACCACGGCTTATTCTTCTCACACAATCAGAACAACCACCAGTTTTTCTGGTACAGTACATATGAACTGGAGACTAGCAATGTTAATAAAATAAGGTGCTATAACTGAAGAGACAACTTACTTTAAAGGGGTAGTTAAACTGAATAAAATCAAAAGCTCTGAACTCCACAGCTGGACAGCTTCTCATATAACAGCAGGTAATTTAAAGTGAGCTGGAATATCTCTGGCTGGTGCTTCAGTTTGCAGTGTGATACCTGTAATAGTTTTTGCAGTTTGACACAGAAAACAGTCTTTTGACACACACTTGCTGATAATTTTCTTATGAATAGAGAAATCCTTTCCTTCCTCCTTCATTAATTCAGTTATTTTAATAGGGTAACTCAGTTCAAACGTATCTATATGTCACATGGGTGCTTCCTGAAGCAGTATCATTTCCACGAAGGAATCCACTTGTGTCTCTGTCACTGAAGCCTGACACCTTACAAACACAGGATTTTTTTCCGGATATTCAGCTGCCGTCTGACACGAGTTCTCTGAGGAACGATACAGAGGTGAGAAACACTACAAAGTTCCACATTGTTTACAGAAGATTAGAAAGTAAAAGGTTTACTGCACCCTCAAGGATTTCATGTTTTAGCAACAGGATATGAACCAAGTAAGTATTCCAAACTTTTCAGTACACTGAAGGTCTAAAATAAATCATGTAAGAAAGTGATTGTTTCTAAGGCCTTGTTGTGGTTTAACCCCAGCCGGCCAACTAAGCACCACACAGCTGCTCGCTCACTGCCCCCCACCCCCACCCGCTGTGGGATGGGGGAGAGAATAGGAAGAGTAAAAGTGAGAAAACCTGTGAGTTGAAATAAAGACAGTTTAATAGGTAAAGCAAAAGCCACTCACACAAGCAAAGCAAAACAAGGAATTCATTCACTACTTCCCATGGGCAGGCAGGTGTTCAGCCATCTCCAGGAAAGCAGGGCTCCATCACGCGTAACGGTTACTTGGGAAGACAAACACCATCACTCCGAATGTCCCCCCCTTCCTTCTTCTTCCCCCAGCTTATATACTGAGCATGATGTCATACGGTATGGCATAGCCCTTCGGCCAGTCTGGGTCAGCTGTCCTGGCTGTGCCCCCTCCCAGCTTCTTGTGCACCTGGCAGAGCACGGGAAGCTGAAAAGTCCTTGACTGGTGTAAGCACTACTCAGCAACAACCAAGACATCAGTGTGTTATCAACATTTTTCTCATCCTAAATCCAAACCACAGCACTATGCCAGCTACTACGAAGAAAATTAACTCTATCCCAGCTGAAACCAGGACAGGGCTCTATCTGCCTAATGATCAATTGCATGGTTGCTGCCATGATTGAGCAGCTGCTCTGAACATATGCTTCACATTCCTGTACAAAATAGTAAGTTAAGGTTCTTGTATAAAGTCTTCTTTGAAATGCCTTTCATTACTATAGCTAGATTGACCTTCAGTAACAGTGGCACATAAGGATCAAGCTGGGTGTTAAAGCGATTCCATTGTCTCTTGTTATTGCTTTGGTAAAATAAGATGTCAGATCTATGTTCCAATTGTTGACCAATTTAACTTGAATAGTCCATGAGGCTTAAGTTTTGTTGTGTATAACTTCACTAACTCTGTAGCAGATCTGGATGACATTTATGGAAAGGTCATCATATCTCTGTTCAATGACTTATTCCTTTCACCTGACTACAGTATCTCCATAGATACCTACTTCTGATTAATCTTCAGTTCTTACAGATGTTTTCACATGCTCTAATTGCAACTGTGCCGTTGATAGCAGGTCAGGTTGGCAAACGGAGGCTGCTGTCCTCTGCAGCTGGGTGTCTCCCAGTACTATCACTCCCTGCTTCCTTCTGGTGCTTCTGTGTAGCTCAAATACAATAGTATTAGAATAGCATTGAATATGCAGTTGTTGTAGACACTGTCAATTTAGGCATCCTGTTAAATTAACAATTAGAACATTTCACTCTCTAGTGTCCACATTGCTCCTACTCATTTTTTTTTTTTTAATTTTCTTCGCAGAATTTTGTACCCTCTGTGGAAATGAAGTGTTTTGATGTTTTATAAGTAGAAGGATGCAGTTTGATAGCTACAGGAAGTGCAAATGGTGCAATAATTTTGTGGGATTTTGAATCTGCCTCTGTGAGATGCCTGTAAGTATTGCTTTTATAGAGGCATTTTGATCTCCAGTATTTCATACAAACTTTTCAAATGGCATACTGGCAATTCTGATACCCAGCTGTAAAGAATGATGGACAAGCAGGAGTTAAAGTAGCAATTTATGTGGGTCCCACTTCAAATTACTTTTCTAGCTAGTCCTGACATTGCAGGTAGGAGAATTGGGTCAGAGAGAGAGAGTCATTTGGGGAAGGGATGATGTAATTAAGAATAGTGTTTTAACATAACTCAGCACTGCCACTGAAGGAAACTCTCACTATGTAAGTCACTCTGTCATTGACTAGAGGCTGCTACTGAGCTGTAGAAACATCCTTATTTTGGAAGTTTCATGTTTGGGAGGACATCTGAAAATAATGCTACTTCAGATGATAATGGCAGATGTTCTACATTACCAGTATCATTGTCTATATCTAGAAGACTAGAAGTCACATTCAACAAGGAGAAATCTGAAGTGATTTTGGAGGTTTAGGAGTAAAAATCTTCCATAGAAAGTGACAAAAAGTGAGCATAGGATGGTTCCAGATATTTTGGAATTGAGCTGCTACCTCAGGAAAGTGAACAATGACAACATGTCTTGTTAGACTGAGTGGAGCAGCATGGCAGTATTTCTGTGTTGGTGATGGGATACATGCCTTTCAAGACCATATAAAGTCAATATTTAACTATCCTACCCAATAGTTTCACAGCATGCTTCATGTGTAAAATTGGCATGTTTGTGAGAAAGCGAGCTGAGTTTTTCTGTACCATGGGAAATAATCAAAACTTAACTGCAGTTCTGGCTCTGTCTCTTCCTTTGCTTTTGCCTCCCCGTATATGAGGGAGCCAATTCATGTGGATGCATGGAAGACAGGAAAGTCAATGCTTTGTAAGTAGAGTATTTTACCCAGGGTTCACATGACTGGTTTGAATGCCAAGAACAATGTACTTTTCTAACATTAACTTAGCTAGTTAGCTTCAACATAAGTTACTTTACTTTTCTCTTAAATACTAATTCTCAAGAAAATACTTAGCTGAATGAAATGTTAATCATTCTATCAGGTTCCTATTTTTCCTGGCACAGAGACATTCTGTACCTACTCTTTACTGACATTAATCCATAACTGATTAACTGATTGTGAAAAACAGGGCCTAAAACTTTTAGGTGACATGCATTCTGTGAAATGAAATGTTTAATTTTTTACATTACAAATAAAGTCTGCAACTTTTTCTGAGAACAATATGCAACCTCACACATCTTGAACAAACATCTGTATTTTCATGTGTAAAATTAATGAAGACAGCCAGGCTTCAGTTCTTCAAGCATCTGGAGTCAATGCAGTGTTATTCCTTGTGCCTACAGCTTTCTTTTCCAGGTAACTGTGCGCATTTTATCTTCCCAGGACAGGCTCAGTCATTTGGAATTTTGTTGTAGTAAACTGATGTAATGTTTGTCCAAGATAGCTGACTTAAACTGAGATTTTCTTTGCATTTAATCAAGTTTAAACAGTTAAGTAGCTTTCTCATCCTTCAGCTTGTGTAATGCTTATCAATACATATTACATATTCTTTTTTTTACCACTCCACTAAGCTATCCTTTTGTCCTCTAAATGACCTCATATGTCTCAATTCTGTTGAAGAATTCAACAGAAGTCAGCTTTTGTCAGATATTAGTTTTCCTGTGTACTGTACCTTCTTTGATTCTTATCTCTGTGAGATAACTCTGTGTGGCAGCAGGCTTTTTCTTTATTTTAAACCTGATACAATCCTCACAGTATTAGATACTCTCAGCAAACAAAGAGAGGGGCGAGCTCATTGAAGTGTGCAGCCTCAAGTTTCATCTTAAAACAAACTAGAAGCTGGCATATGTTGGTAGTGTTGGATGGAGAACAAAATTTTAGCCAAATATGCTCATTTTGAGAGAAAGGCATTGCATATGTACATAACTTCAGAAGTGCTTGTCTTCCAATGGATATGCAAAGGCAATGGTAGCCAAAAGGACTCAGTATGATTTAAATACTTATGCAGCTTTAAGGACTTAGAGCAATTACATAGGTTTTTTGCTCTCCTGAATCATAGGGATGGTGTAGGGTCTTATATTGCTTTAAAACCTTCAAGTAGCTTATGCATTTACTACACCCCTAAATGTACCAGTGCCACTTAATTGAACATAAATTTACTTTTTGACATTATAGCTTAATTATTAATTTAATAAATCCTAGCTAAATTCAAATGTCATGATTACAAGCCACAGAATTTTTTACAAATCAGGAAAAGCTCCAATTATGCTTAAGCAGGAGTATCCTACAATTTCTTTGAATCATATAGGCTTAGGATGTTTTGTACGTACTGGGAAGGTACCTGGATGAATTTGACTGTGATCATATATACACACACAATGTTCAAGAATGGTAGCAAGTTTGTAAAAATCAAACACTGAAAAATTACAAAGTCATGGCCACCTGTCCAAATTTAAGTGGGCTACCCCAGCTGCATTCTTTCTATATGTGTTTTACATTATCCCAGTTATTCAGATACTCTTGTTAAAAACAGCAGCTGTGACATTGGTGTAAGTTATGTGGCCAGAACCTCACATCAGCACAGTTGAACTTTTCTTGACTCAGAAACACAAACGTTGAAGATGACCTCCAAATTTTTTTCCTGAGTTTCTTCCACAGAATCCCATTTCTGATCATTATCTTAACAGATAGAAAATAAGTTTCTATAATTAATTAAAAACTATTTGCAGAGCAAAGCACTGTGTAAAATGAACGGCAGGAAGCCATTGGCATGCACTGAATTTTTCCCCTTCGCTTCTTGAGGATGAACACCAATGTTGTTAATTTTTATTTACTATGGATTTAATTTGCTCAAAACTCTTGACAGGAGAGGTTGGCTGTGTAATATACAAATATGGCTTAGTTATTAGACAAATTTCTAAAACACCAACAACCCTTAGTCTAATCAGCCTCATCAATTCAGGCACTGTTTTATTATGCTTTATTACACTGGATTATGTTGATTTCCAGATAGCAAACAGTATCTTCAAGAATGTTAGTGATGTCCAATAATTTCTTTCACACAGGAAAATTAGTTCCCTGCCCTCTGCTACTGTAAGAAGTGGTATCAGTGCCATTCCAGAGCGCAAGAGCAGTTCTTTGAATCTACATAAGGTAGGTATAATGGCTTCATGGATTTGGTAGCATTCAAAACAAATATCTGTTTTCATTTTGGTTTTGGCTTTAAAATCCTGTAGCTTACTAAAATCCCTCCATAAAGCCATGTACAAAACTAAATATCAAGAATTACAGAGAAATGAACTTTGTTCACCTAAGCTGAATGAGGTGGGGAATTAAGAATACATTCTGTCAGGCAGCTAGCTCTGTGATACATGGAATAGCCGACTATCAAAGTGTTTGTCAGATGCTTATCACTAGCAATTCTGACTTTCAAATGGGGGTATAGAAGAACTCAAAGGGGAAGGTAAATAGACAAATCATGAAGTACTTGAATAAAAGTGGAATCACAGCTACGCTGCAGCCACAATTACTGGGATACATTGCTTTCAAATGACAGTATGAGAACTTTTTTTAATTTACCATCAAGATGCCAGTGTCTCAATCTGTGTATTTTTGCTAAGACTAGCGTTATCATTTTTGTGACACTTTTTGTCCTTTTATGCCAGAAGAACATGCCATATCTGCAGAGCAACAAATAGCAAATAGGCAAAAAGAGGAGAAATTTGCTACCTCTCAGATTCTTTCCAGCATATCGTTTTGGCAGAGCATGGCACTTTCATAGATTCCCAAGTAGACACAGGCCTAAGTGTCATCCACAAACTAAAATACACAATATCTTCTGCTATGTAGTCATTAGAATAACAAAATGGACAGTCATTTGCAGCTCTTAAAAAGATCCCCAAAAGCCCAACACATCAAGCCTTACAGATCAATAGGTAGGATGAGACTGAAGTGGCTTTTCCTCTTCTAAGATACCTCAGACAACCACGGCTGTATAGTTTTTCCTGCCTCATTTGACTTCCCAATTTTTGAGGCCAGTATACTGATTACTCTCAGCCTTGGGGATCCTCAGCAGCTTATATAGTAAGGCACAAATGAAGGACTGTGGTAATTCTCATACTGAAGATGCAGATGGGAGTAAATGTTACTGCTATTTATGCATTTCGTTCATCTTTGCTGGAGGCAGTAACAAGACTATATGCATGTTCTGAATTAAACTCTCTAAGTAAGAGACTGTAAATGATCAACTTTGCTTGTCCCAAGAAGTCAATGCCATTCAGCCAAATTTATCTTTAGCATGCTCCTAAATGCCAATTAATTTCATCTATGATTTGTGCATCTGTGATTTTGATTCTCTTCAGATGAAATGTTTCTTGTTTTCACTCAGTGCTGTCCCAGATTGAATGGAAATTGGGGGAATATTTGAATGCTTCAATTAAAAGAAATGAAGTTCTTAAAATAATTTCAACTAGAGAACTGTTCTGTAGTTACACCCAAGTTCCATTTTCTAAGTCTGTTACATTTTATTCCTTGCTTTTAGGAAAGTATAAGAAGTGACAAAATTAATACTCAAATAACAGGTATGGAAAGATGTTTTTCATTCTTTCTTGTTGATCCATAAGTTCTGCCCAGATTACCATAGAAACTGAGTTTGTCAGTTTGTCTGGCAAACTGTGTTTAGAACACTTGGGATACCATTGGTATGTGGATGACACACCTCAACATCTTCTACTCACCCCTTATTTGCAGTTATTTCCCAAAACCAAGCCAGGATGCAGGATATGCAAGGGCTTAATGGCTGTTTTTTCTAAACAGACATGATGCTAAAAACCTTGCAGAATTTGGGAATGTCAAATCTACCCACTTCTCTTCCACATAAATATTCGAGCAATGAATCATTGAAATGGTATAGCAAGAGCCAGCTTGAGTCAAGTATGCGTGAATGTCCTTACAGAGAAAATCTTCAAAAGCAGATGGAATTTTAGAAGGAAAAATCTTCCGTATAGTATATATCCTTTAAACAACAGAAACAAGAGAGAGCCAAGTGCTTAAGAGTTAAAGCTGTGCAAATGGAGTTGGTGAATTTGCCAGAAGCAAATCCTCTAGATTCTTCTGAATCCTTTAGACATCCTCTGCTAGAAAGCAGACTTTCCCAATAACAAGAAATTTGATCATCTGAACTGTTGATTTAAGCTGAATTTATTTTGCAAAGAAAACATGAAATCTAGAATATCCCTGAGCATGGTAGCTGTTCAATGAAATAAACACTCATGTTAGGTCCTGTATCCACTGAATGTCCATTTCACTGAGGACCTTCATGGGACCCCCCTACCATCTCCAGTTCTGGGGAAGTCACAGCAGGAACTCAAGAAATGTTCTCTGTGACCACCACTTTGCATTTAGCAAAAGTTTTGAACCTGAGAAGTGTAGAAATCTGTGATTCCAGAATTGTTAAGCATCATTTAGTTATTAAACCTCATTTCATTGCTGAATTGACAGTAATCTCTAGAAGCCTCATGAAGAGGCTGCAGAACTGCCTCTCCACTGTCCTGATGACCACTGTCTTTCACAGCTCCTCCACTCTCACTGGTGCTTGCAGGTTCTGTGAAATCTGTTGCTGTGCTCTAAATAAGGTTCCCCTGCATCATGGAACAATAGTTCTGGCTGATTTAGATAAGATAATGAAGATTGTTCTAATTTCTTTTCAGTTGTCTTTTATCCATATCTGTAATGTTTTCAGAGTAATGCCATCCTGATGATGGAGTTTATTTTCAATTTTTCAATTTTTTTTATTCTAGTGTTATGTAATTTCTGTACATTCAAAAGCAGTACTAAAAATTGTTAAGAAAATGTATGGTCATTTGTGTTCCAAAGCAGAAGACACAGCTAGGTATAAGAATATCCAATACTTGAAGATGAATATACAGTCATCCAAAGCTGCAGCAGGACACTCACCAATACTGGCTTCTGCTCATGAAAATGGCTGTATCTGCCTATGGAGTATTCAGGTAGCTATCTGAATGTCTTTGGGATGGGACTGGACCATTGAGAAACATGCTTTTTAACTAGCAATTGCAGCAGCAGCAGTTTTATTGCATTTTTTGATTAATAGTTTCTTCCACAGACACAAATTAGTTCTGCATTAATAACTGTAGCAGATAGGGGCAAGGGGGAAATGAAGAAACATTATTTGAAATAATTATAACAAAAACTGACCGTAAAGTTATGTGAAAGTCTGTAAGTTGATTTTTTGCTCATATTATTTACCTTCTAAGAAAGGATGAAGGGCAAGGCAGAGTGTCCTGCTCTCAGAAGAGGAGAAATATGTCAGGAACACTGCAAAAGCCAGTTAGCACTAGTAGGGTTACAAATCAGGAGAGAGTAGTATCCTAATACATAGTGTCTACAGCCATAATGAGCTTGTAAAACCTGTCATAGAACAGAATGCCAATGGCTTAGTTGTCATATCACCTCAGACCTATGAGACTCTATTCCAGAAAGCATGTTACTCTAAACAAGAGATAAAAAGTAAATGCAGAAAGAAGGGGAGTACCATGATATGACTGGCTAATATTGGTCATTGTGGCAGACAGTGATCACAATACGTCAGCCATGTAAGGCTTTAACAGGAATCCCAGCAAAGGCAAGTTGTACCAAGAATTTTTGAGAAAGATGGTGAGGTATCTTTGCAGATGTTTTATGCAAAAATAGAATATGATGGTAAATGTCCCCAAGTACAGTAGGTGTGGGCTTTGGTGGGTTTTGTTGTCTTCACAGTTGATATATTAGTGTGCTTAGATTCCTGTAGGAATCTCCAAGTTCAGATGATGGTGATGTCATCACTGACATGATTGTCATCTTCGTTACATGGATGACACAGTCACGATTCTCCTTATCAGCAAGACTTTATCCCTCACCACCTCTCAAACCTGAAGACACGGTAAGGGAGAAAGTCTACTAATGCTTACTTGAAAAATATAACAAGTTGGCGAAGGAGACATCATGGGTCCGTTTGCAGCAAGGAACAATGTTTCAGTAGCAGATGAAATGCATACTGATGATATTCCACAGCAAATGAGAGCTAAGTGGTAAAGTAGGGGTAGGTAGGTACAGATAGACTGTGAATTGCCTGAAGAGAGAAATAGCTTGTTCTTTTGACGTAGAAGAGATGGCAACCAGAAGAATACATCCCAGCTATCTTGGTCATTCAGTAGATTAGGAAACTAGCTTTTTAGCTGCTTTCTGAATAGATATGAGCTGAGTGACACTGAATAGATCAAATCAATAGCGCTCAACTTCTGATGAATTGATTTTTTTTTTTTTCATGTAAATATTATAAAGAGAAATATGTGTTTGTTTATTTATTTATTTTAGGGAAACTTAGTGAAAGAACTTTTGCCATTTTCAAAATATCCTTCAGGTCCTCTGACAGCACTACATACAGACATCTCCACTAAAATGCTTTTGGCAGGCAGTAAGGGTGAGTAAACATGTTAGTCATTCTGTTCAGGACAGTTTGTAGGACCACAAAATATCATGTTGTAAATTTGCCAGAAATGTGGAAATGAAGGTCCAAATGCTGCCAGACTTTCTCCATCAAAGCTATAATTAAATAATTGAAAAAGGTATTTTCTGGTATGAAAGGTAGATTAAAGCTTAGCATTACATTAATAGCATTATCAGCAGAACTGTTTTCATAAAAGACATTACAGTTTTCTTTATTCACAAGCCCTGCATGTACTTTTCATCTGAATTACTGTATTAATACCAAGGGCAAAGATTACTGCTAAAAACAATCAAAAATTTCACATCCACGGTAATAAAACCAAATAATAAACTGCAGCTGTGGCTGTGCCAAGAGCCATGATTCGGACACTGATATGGAGTGCACAGTAATGGCTTCAGCAGTATGTTGCTATATAAGGAAGGAAAGCACTGGTGATCTGGGTTAGCAGCTCATTGTTAGACTTTTAATTTCACACCAAATCTGGCTTTCATTTGGCAGAAAGTCCAAGAGTTTATCTGCTGTCTGATTCTCCTCCAAACTTTTAGAATCACCCTGGCAATTTTCTTCTTCTGCATCTGTCATATGAGATTTTTGTCCTTTAATGTGTCACTTTTCTTCTAAAATACCTATTAGAACTGTTTCCTGCCAGCTTCCTGCTCTTACGCTGTCAGAAGTTGGATGGAGCAAGGGTTTTTTTCCCATTTCTTTCAAAATTTAGCAGTAGCTTGATGTTAATGCTGAAAATGAAGAGGAGTTTCCACTCCCCATTGATTCAAATCAGTAAATGAGTTCAGGAAAGCAGCATGCACTGAACAGGATTTTAATTAGTTGTGGAAAAGTATCCACCTTATTACCTATTCATCTGATACTCTCCCTTTGTCCTTTTGTGTTTGTGCCACTGTGTATTTGCTTTTCATGCTTTCTGCACCCTTCTCTTTTATCTGCAGTGCTGCTACCAATTTCTTGTTCCCATTACAGATTCTTCCTTGTTAGGAAAAGGTCAACTTCTCTGTCAGCCTCCTTGCTTGCTTGCAAATGTACAGTCCTAGAAACCAGATGTGACCAGTATGAAGGTTGGAATTACACAAAAGATTCCTCTATCTAGTAGTAGAAATGAAAGATAAGAGGCAACTTCATCAGGAAAGAAGGAGCCTAGGCAGGAAACTGAGCAGTTGTGGGTCATAAGGAAAATGATTCTTTGATTCTAGCTTCACATGGGTGCACTAAAAGGTTGCAAAACTTTAAGGATTCATTATGTATGCAATTAATCAAACTTTGTGCATTTTACCAGGATTGAAAAGCAGTTTAATACCCAGGAAGCTCTCCTACCTAGTTTGTGCAATAGATAACTGTCTTGACAAGATGACTCTTATTTTTTACTCATGTCATTTAAAGAAAAAACGTTACATTCCTTCCATTTCAAACCTATCCAGTTAATGACACATCGCTCACAAAGAGTATACGTATTTCTTTGCATATTAATGAATGGTCCATTATTTTCTGCTCTGTGCTTCACAATGAGATAGTGACATTCACCTTAAAATAACTTTCACTGACCTGTAATCTCTGCTTCGTTCTGCCCAATGTTTACCAAGAGCATATAGCAGCAACTAGTGAATGTCCAGCACTAATGAAATTTATTGACGTTTTGCTTTTCCCTTTCTTAAACAGAGGGACACATTATGCGCTGGAGCATTGCCTCATTCTTGGAAGATCCACAAAATAGTAAAAATGTAAGGAAAAATCTGACAGATTTTCTTAACTTCAACAGTATACCTAGATAAGACAAATAGAGGAAAATGGATTCAGAGCTCTATGGGGACTAAAAATGTTTCCTGCACATAAAGGTCCTGTCTTTCGCTTGAAATAATAACTTGGTGCTGTGAAAAAGAAGAAAAACAAAGTAAAATGCTGTTAGGATTATTCCATTGTGTTCAAAGATGCTATGTTAAGAATTAATTTATCCATATCCCCTGAGAGATGTTTCTACCATATGCCATTTGCAGGCTGTTTCATGGAGGGATTACTTTTTCACCTCTTTTAATTTTCAGAAAGCCATGCTGATAAATCCACTAAGCTATCAACCATGGTGGCATACAGAACTGCCTGAAATGTGGTTATGTTGCTTTTTTCCCTCAGCAAATAAAGGAGGAGGTCTGCTGGAGGGCACACTCTAATGAAGTGGTTGACTTATTTCATGAAGAGGAAAAAAATGTGATAGTGACAGCATCCATTGATGGTTCAGTCAGGTACAAAAATGGCTAATACCTCTTACTGCTATGGCCAATCAGTTGAACTGTCTCCAAAGTTCGTCTTCTTGCTGGACTTGTATATAGGCTAGAACTTAAATAAAATACAACATTGGGTGCATTTTCTGTTCTGCACCTGAAAGAACTAATTTTTTAATGTAACACTTCCAGATTTCTCAGGAAGTCAGACCTTTTGCAGACAGTCATTTTCTTTCAGCAAGGTGACCTTGAATGCACAGGTAACAGCCCCATCATTTTAGAAATGACCTCCTGTTCTAATCCTATTTTGGCTTTCAATACTTGTTAAATTGACATGGGTCCTAAGCATTGCATCTAACCAATACTTATGCAATTAAACCATTGCAGTCTGAAGATGTGTTACAGACAACTGTAATTCCTTCTAACAAGTACATTTGAAGGGGGTTCTTTTTGGTTTTTTGGGGGTATCAATGAGGAAATTTTGTGTAGAACCTGCTCTGGTGGCAGCACCTTACTGTAGGAGCAATTCAGGATATTGATGCCTTTACTCCTCAGTTTTATAATTATAAAGATGAACTGTTTGTTTTCTGATTTTTACAACATACTTCTGAGATTTTTTTACTCTCAAGTTATATTATAAACAGTGAACTTCAATCTCATTGGTTTTTTTTATGACTAGCATAGAAAAGTGCTGCAGAACTTGATAATGTAGACACATATTTTGTCACTTTTCTTCCACTTCTAAAAGTATCCATTTTTCCTTTCTGTCTTTTGGCACTGCTTCTACTATGTCTGTAGGCTCTGGCATGCCATGAACAGATACTGTCTTGGTTACTTTGGACAACCTAGGAAGTTTGAATTATCTGATATCAGTCGGTTGATTTTGCCTTGTGATGTTAATAACTTCCCTACTGTAATTAAAGAGGAAATCAAGCATATGGAGAAGAAGAAGTTTGAATATCCTCTAATGCTGGACAGGGACAAGTAAAATCTCATATATTTATATATATGTATGATTGGGGGAACAGTTCTGAAAATATACTTTAAAAGCACCTTTCACCTGAAGGTCAGAAAAAATATCAGTATTTCCTATGAGTTATTTAGAAAAATCCTTTTTAAAAATGTTTTTACACAGCATGGATAATCTCTTAATTGTTATGACTAGGTGACAGTCAGGATTAGGTGATGTTCAGGATTTGAATTCAGTAATAGTGATGACTAGATAATTGTCTCAGATTTCAGCCTATTTAGCCTGTATGTTACGTACACTATTCAGGTTAGCAGCCTGTTTCTTTTTCAGTTCCATAAGCTGATATACTTCTGGGATCCAAAAAAAATTTACTGAAAAAGCTTAATGTGAATAGTTTCAACCCAAACCCAAATCTTTCTGTAAGAATAACCCCAATTTAATCTTTCAGTTTAAAAAATGGTCTTCTTAAATTTGCTGGGATGTTATGAATACATTCACATACCTCTGATCATGACGTTCTGACACTGGCATAAATGTTGTGTTTCAATAGAACTGTTGGACCTCTTTCCTTCTAGGTAGAGTTCTCAAGGGACATGGGTTAGTTACAAGTCAAGCCAGAATGCCTTGGCCCTCTAACTTAAGTCATATTTCTAGTCCTGGAGCTCCCTGCTTCATTAATTAGTGAGTTGACCAAATGAACATAAATACTGAAGCAGGAAACTTCAGAGGCAACATGCACATTTCCTTTAGTAACAAAGCAGTCCAAATCTGGGAAAAACTATTCTAGGGCTTAAAAAGTCATGCATGTTTTAGTGGTAAGGTTTCATATACCATGTGCTTTCTTAGGCTGCCTTTTAACCAAAGCACTTTGGGACAATGGGAAATCTCTAAGGTGCTTTACTGTTACCCCATTTAGGTCAGTATCCTGCTAACACTTATTATTCCATAGAGTTCTTACTAACGTGAGTAGTCCCACTGAAGTCAGAACAGTAACTCATCAATGCAGAGAAGGCTGTGTTTGAAGGACTAACCCCTGTAGTCCTTTTGAATAGTCAGCAGCTAGTTTGAAACCTCTGGAATCAAAGATAATAAAATTAAGCCAGCTAACCTTAAAGAAACTTCCCATAAATGACATGCCTGTGGCAAACTGTGACTACTTTTTGAGGACCTTTCAAATATTTCAGTAAAGGAGAACGGCTATCATACATTTAAAACACATTAATTAAACAGAGTGGAAGCAAATGAGAAGCCTGCTTAACTGTGCAGAGAACTGAAAAAAAAAGGCGGCCACATGCGGCGCAATAGAAAGTTTCAGCCTTACCATTCTATATACTCTGTGTGCTGTCACCTCAAGATAACTTGATTCCTCTGGATTAATTGTACCAAATAGTGTAATGGATAGCTAGCCAACTGTCAGCCAAAAGGCTGTGTTACTTATGGATGCTAGGTTTTGTTCTTTACAAGATACAGGAGCTTCTCTTGGGTCAAGTCAGTTATCTTCATGATGCTACTACAACTTACTTATTGGAAAGCTGTCATATGCGTCACTAAGATAATATTTTAGAATTTCAATTAACAAATCAAGTTATAAATGCTATTAACAGATATTCTCCAAATGTGCATGTACCTGAAAAGGTACAAACCAAGCTGAATAGCGTAGGTGCTTACAGTTTAAACAAGTGGTTCAGGTGATCTATTGAAAAATGTCAGCAGGTAGATGGACCCATGTAGAAGAACAGTCTGTTTCTCTCTGTAGTTTATAATTCTTAGCTCGTGTGATCTGACTTAACTTTTCTGATTACAAATGAAACTGTGTTAATCTGCACTAACAGACACTCTACTCTAGATCATTTCTTCTTGTGATTAACTTTGGAAACCAGATATATGAGCAGAGGAAACCTTTGTTATGAAAGTGACATACAGGAATTGTAGTCAGAACTGACAGAAATGCTGAAAAGCCATTATCAGACAGCGAGTTAGCACCCAGTTGTGGTAACCAGTGTTTTTTATATTAACATTTCCAGCCTCCTAAAGATGACAAGCCAGTATCTGGATTGACAAAGTGTTAGTGAAGCACTTCATGACACCTATGAAGGTCCTAATACAAATTATATTTTGAAGATATGTGGAATAATTTATACTTCAAAATAATTTTATTTTGGAGCCAGCTAAGAACGTTGCATTCAAAATTGCCATTTTGATAGGAGCATCAGATTTTTTCTGTCTTATGTGTACAGGTGGAAGTCACTGACCAGATCACCTTCAGTTTTAAAAAAGCCTAAACATGCAGATATTATTCAGGACTTCAAGTTTTTCAAAGCTCTGGTTTCTCCAAAGGTAGCTAATGTACACGACAAATTTGTTTCTGTTCTGTGCAACATATAAGAAATGCAATTGTATTTCTCATTTATAAATTGTCCATAAATAACCCTACATATCCTTCTCATTCAATGGACAAGCTAGAACAAAAATGCATAAACAGAGGGGTCAAAAAAGCTCTCTGGTTTTCATTCTCATTGTTTCACACTTCGAAATTCCAATTTAGAAGGTAGCACACACTGAGTAACTTGTTTGGCTTAACAGCATTAAAAAACCCTAAAATTTTCACATGCTCCAACAGAAGTCCTAAATATCTTAAGTTTACTTGAAGGAAGTGTGAAAATACTAGAACAGTGAATTCCTGGTTATACACAATAGTTCTTCCAGGGTTCCCATGAAATCAGAAACATGAGAGTTCTGAGTTTAGATATCATTATAAATACTTTCTACAACTCTAATTGAATAATGGTGGAGCCCCTCCACCTTTACCAGGATTAGCCCTTGAAAGTCATGGGAACAGATAAAACATCTCTTGCAGTTGTAGTAGAAAAGGAAAAGATAAAAATCCTATGTCCACTTGCCAAAAAAGCTTCCATTAACACCTTTCCTACCATTCTTCCTCAAAGGTTACTGGCGAACAACTAGCGAGAGGTATGAACTCTTAACATCTTCTCCTAAAATCTGTGGTACCATGAGTCTCCTGTGTACCACAGTCTGATATCTTAATGAGGCCAGCTGAGGTCCAAACAGTAGTCAGTAAAAGACAACGTTATTCCACGTGACCAGCAACTTTTCTCTGGGTACCTTAGGCGAAAGGATGACAAGATGAGTGGAACACGCTTCTCCACTGTTTATTGCCCCGTCTTGCCAGCCAGTCCACAGAATCATAGAATCACAGAATCACAGAATCATAGAATCATAGAATCATAGAATAGTTTGGGTTGGAAGGGACCTTTCAAGGTCATCTAGTCCAGCCCCCCTGCAATGAGCAAGGACATCTTCAACTAGATCAGGTTGCTCAGAGCTCCATCCAACCTGACCTTGAATGTTGCCAAGGATGGGGCATCTACCACCTCTCTGGGCAATCTGTTCCAAATGTGTTCACCACCCTCATTGTAAAAAATGTTTTCCTTATATCTAGTCTAAATCTACCCTCTTTTAGTTTAAAACCATTACCCCTTGTCCTATTGTTACAGGCCCTACTAAAAAGTTTGTCCCCATCTTTCTTATAGGCCCCCTTTAAGTACTGAAAGGCTGCAATAAGGTCTGCCTGGAGCCTTCTCTTCTCCAGGCTGAACAACCCCAACTCTCTCAGCCTTTCCTCATAGCAGAGATGTTCCACCTCTCTGATCATTTTTGTGGCCCCCCTCTGGACCCATTCCAACATGTCTTTCTTGTCCTGAGGACTCCAGAGCTGGACGCAATACTCCTGGTGGGGTCTCACCAGAGCGGAATAGAGGGGCAGAATCATCTCCCTCAACCTGCTGGCCATGCTTCTTTTGATGCAGCCCAGGACACGGTTGGCTTTCTGGGCTGCGAGCACACATTGTTGGCTCATGTCCAGCTTTTCATCCACCAGGACCCCCAAGTCCTTCTCCACAGGGCTGCTCTCAATGTTCTTCCTTTCTCACTTGTCCTCGCTGACTGGGACACCAAGTATACAAGATCAGCTCTCATCTTGTCTGGGTGCTTGACTATTTGAAGCTGCTGGATTACTTGCTGCTAAGCAAAGGTAGTCAAGCATGCAGTTTTGAGGCATTATGTCATTTCACCCCGAGGCAGCAACACGTTGATGAGCTCCCTTATGTCACAGTTATACCAGTCACAGATGCTGCACAATCTCCAGAGTGGCTCCTGTTTAAATCATGGGGAAACTGATGTAGCTGCTTTTGTGCCACTGGAGCATGCACTACAAAGTAACAGCAGTTGATCATTGGTCCCCTGCTGTTCAACAGCTGTAGATACAGCACTGTGTAATAGAGAACTGTGTTAGTGGGAAAAATATGTTGATGCTGGGTATAAAACATGAAATTTACTGCAGCAAAGTCAGTGGTTGAGTACATTGTGGGACAAGTCAGTAGAGGTGGGTTCTGCTTTGGATTCTACCTAGTTATTTGAAAAGAGGACTCAATGGAGGTCTCATAGCAGAAGATACTTGATTAGCACTGGAGTCCCCTTCTGATTGAGCTTTTGATGAGAAAAAGGTTTGATTTCCTATCATTTACCTTAGAGCAGAACAAACCAGTGGACTTCAGTTTGCACTTCAGACTAGAGGGGTGCTATTCAGTGGCTGTGCAAACATCTAGAGTATATGCTTAGCTCACCATAATTCAGTTGTCTGGTCTTTCTGAAATGAGTAATTAATGCACATGAGTAACGCTTAGAATTGACAGACAGACACTGGAACAGATTCCTTTAGGAATGTTTTACACTGTTGAAGATGTGGTATCTCTTGAACTGTTACTACTGCGGCACACTCAGTAATGTATTAGTAAGACCATGAAAAAATAGAGGTAGAAAATCTTTGCATAATGTACCATTTCAAATTAAACTCCTGTTTTCACATTTGATGGAAACATGTATTCTTTGAAATATTTCAAGCTGTAGGTGCATTTTTTTTCCTTTTTGGAGTACCATAAACTGGCCTCCTAGGGTGAAATCACGGCTATATCAAGTCGGGATTCATGTGGGTGTGGATGAACTGTCAAGGTACTTGAGGTATTTTCGCAAATTCAAAGCTTTCAACAGTTAACAGCAGAAATGTCTTGTTCATCTGCATCTTTTCCAACTGCTGTTGAAGTGTTTGTGCTTTGCAAAGCCCAAAGGAAGGATAGCCAGACTGAGTTCTTACTCCATTAACCCTTGGCTAGACTTCCACTGTCCTCTGATAGCATGCATCCACCAAACCTGACAAGTGCCCTGAAAATGATTCCTTTATTGAGCTTATCCAAGGTGTTAATAGGTGAGAGAACTAAGTGTTTAAAACTAGCTTAAACTTAGGTGATAAAAAGCATTTTGCTGTTAACTGTCTTGATTTTGTGTCCCTTGGGAAGCTGGAATTTTGCTGGTTATGCATTTTCTATAGCAGAAGAATGATCCCCTCCTAATTTAAAAAAAAAAAAAAAAGTTCAAGGCAGCCTTTACATGGTACAAAGAAAACCTGTGCATAAACCATAATCTCTCTACATAGTAATGATATACATTTCTTCAGATAGCATGAACGTTACCATGCAATTCAATAACAGAAGTAATGTTTTCATTACCTGTTGTCTTCAGCTAGTAATGCACTGACTTTGGCTTCCCTTCGTCAGATCCACAGACTACCTTTGGAAACTTTTGAGTCTGGAAACAGAGAGGCTGGAGCAGTATTTGGGTCTCTTCCTATATATGAGGTAAGCACAAGTGTTTTCTACCTTTTGCGGTGGCATTCATACAGCACAAGCCATTAGCACTAGTAAATTATTACAACCACGTACTCTGACATTCTATTGTTAACTGTCTGCTTCTCGATTTAATTTTCCAACATGGTTTGCATTACTACCTATCCAACTCCATTCTCCATTTGGCGAAAGCTTTGGAAGCCGGTTGAAGAGAGCATGCCACAAAGTGAGTATTCCAGACACTTACTTCTCCTGTGCAACCTCATCTCATTAACTTTTTGCTCAGACTTGACTCTTTTAGCCAGCCCAAAAACTATTGATTCTTATCTGCACAAAGCTTTGGCCGTCGTAAGTTAATACTGTTTTATAGGTACCATTGATTTGATTTATTGCAAGCCGTCTAGCAAGACTTCCTAGGTTGTTCCTTCTATGGAGAAAGACCAGAATGTCCACAGCCTTGTCTATCCCACATATCATAGGATGGAAAGAATCACTCCTAGCAGAGGTGCTGATCTTTTTCTATACAGGGTACCTAGAGAACTAGCTTGGATGAGACTCCGAACATCTACATGGCTAGTTAGGTGGGATGAATAGGGTACTCTGCATTCAAATATATATGACAATGCTTGTGCCTGCAGCGTTACAGAGTATCTCAGAAAACGGAAAACTCAGGAGCACAATGTTCAAATAGTTGGCACATATGTTATTCTTCTGATCATTAATGTGCCTTGGAAATCTATGTTTTGTTTTCTTCCAGAAGAAGACAATAAAATACAGGGGGTCTTGTGCCTTGGCAAGTTAGGAGCAACTACACTAAGCCAATGGCACCACAATGGATTTACAATAAAATGAGATCAGACTTTTTTTGAGCTACATGCACAACAAATAATTTTTTGTCTGTGCTGTTACAAAATGCTATCAAAGTGGTCTGTTCCCCTGAATATATTAATTAGTTCTTGAACTTTTGCAATTTATTTTTTAAAGTTCTTCAGTGGAACAAAGCTGAGGTGTCCAGTCCCACTGGATGGACAACGGAGACGTGTTTCAGTGGAGAACAGGGTCAAAACAAATAACACAGCACCCATCTTCAGCAAAGTGGATTAGCAGGTTCCTTATTTCAATTTTTTTCTCTGTTGTTTTTTTTTCTATTATATTTAAATACACTTCATTATTAAGTAGAACATACAGAAATCAAATCTTTACTTCTATTCTAGTCCCTCATGCAGAAAAAATTCTAATAAAGCCAGTGTATGATTATAACAAGATACTCACAGAAAAGCCCACCTCACTCCACTTTTTGATGGTTAAGAAGGAAAAGCACCTTACTATGATTAACTGCTTAAAGACTCAGAGCCATAAATCTGCAAAAATTCTTCTTTTGCTAGCCATACAGACTTCCCTGAAGAACAAGAAATGTTATTCCAGAGCTACTGCTCTAACCTTTCTCTCATGTTTCAGGAGCTTTGGTGCCCTTGGATAAGCAAAGAGTTGATGGGATGTTCCATAGGTAGCACACATATGCCACAGTATCCTAGTCAAATGTCTTCTTCCAGAAACATTTAGATTTCCTTGTTAATCATGTAGAGACAAGACAGAAGGAAGACTGAGAACTAGGTTCAAATAATGAGAAACAACCCTATTTAAAGATACCTGGATTTAGGTCACAGCATCATCGAACACGCCATCTTTAACTGCGCTGTTTTCATCTGAGCTAACTTTATATTAATTAAACATATTACAGAAACAGAAAAAGTGAAAACCAAGCAAAGTTCCTTGTAATTGTTTTGTTAATGCTATGCAGACAAGTCTTCAGAATTATCATTCTAATACCTTTTAGTGCCAATATTTTTGTTTGTTCAGAAAATGCCTTGACCAGAACTATTAACAGAATGAAATGGCCATATTACCCCAAAAAATCATTTTCAGCAGCTCACATTCCTTCTGCTTTAGCCTACTTTGTTTTAGAAATGCATTAACACGCCACGGTAGGGAAAATCTGTTTTGATAAGATTTTTTTAAATTAGTTTTTCTGATCAATTTACTGCCTGTCAGTTCAGGTTTATGGGCAAAATCCTGATCCCTTGTTGCATGAATTTAAGTCTTAGTTATGCAGATTTAAAACTAAAAAATACTATAGGTCAACTCAATTGACCCCAATTATTTTCATCATTTTTATTATATAGTACAAACCAGGCCTAGGGCATGGTAGATTTGTTTAAAGGAAGGTCAATGTATGATTCACAATGTAATGAAGGTGAAAGTATAATAGCATTATTTTATCATTATTGTGATTCAATATGAACTCCTTACACTGAGCTGTTGTAAACAAGACCAAAATTTGTAAAAGTTACTTAGCATATTTTAGGGCGATCAGAGATCATACTCCTTTTCAGCAGTTGCCAGTGGCTGCTTACTTAATGAGATGCTAGTAACAATGTGATTGTGGTGGATTTTGCGTTAATTCAAAGTCTTAAACTACTCTCCTCTAGGATGTGCTAAAACCTACTTAACATCTTCCCTATTTTTATGATTGGACCCTGAACCCTTAATGTAAAACTGAACCTTTGGATAGCACTGGAAGAGAACTGGCAAATGTTGGAAACTGATCTCCTCATCAACATTTAAGAAACCAATACATAGGTTTGTCCCTTCTTCCATGGCACAGTAATGTCAGAAAGCTTTGCTCTTCTTATGCTTTATTGACTATTTTCATCTTAATAGGAAATCCAAATCTTTAACTAGCACAGGCAATAACAGTATCATATTGAACAGCATCTTTCATCTTGTGCTGCATAATGAGCTGCCCTTCTGCTTGGGAAAGCACATGGCAAAAGGGGAAGGGATCTTGGGTTTATGTAAAAATCACTCCTGTTGAAATCAGTGGATAGCCCATTCAACATCTAAGAATTCATTATGGCGCTGAGACGAAGATCTTAACCAGTGCTAGTGTAGTATACATTATGTAAAAGAAAACACTCTCGCCTGAGATCTCAGATTAGACATCAGCTTCCTTAGGGAAGATGCTGCAGGAACTTCAATAATCACGAATGGATAAAATTGGTTTTACACTCTGACAGAAAGATGTATGAACTTTAGTGCCAAAGGACATTGGCTATTCATCCAGTCTAACCTTCTGGGTGGCACAAGGCAGAGAACCCATCATGAATATCTTCCATGGCCAAATGCCTGTTTGTGTTACTATTTTGGTTTCCAGTTGAAGGGAGCATCCTAGGGTTCTTAACGTACATTTGCTGCCAGTTATTCTCCGTGTCAAAACCACAGGTTTCCCCTCTGCTTCAAATCTGTCCACCTTGGACTCGGATATTATGCTGCCTTTTTTCTGCCAGATTAAGCTTCATCAGCCATAAAAAATCCTTTCCAGAGATTATTCTTCTTAACCGAAGAACTCAATGTCTGCTCTCCATGATCCAGTCAACTTGTCTGAGCTGACAGTAAGGAGCAGGCGGGGCATTTTAGCTGAGGGGCAGTGCACTGCAGCCTCAGGAGCCAGCTCAGGTCTGGGAGCAGTGTGTTGCACTAACATGGCACTCGGTTTGAAATAACAAGCCCTGTCAGCTCCAAGAGGTCCTGCACAGGTCTGGCTCCAGTATCCCTACAGATGCTCCCCAGGGCCTCTGGTTCTGTTCTCCCAAAAAGTCCCTATGAATCAGAAACTAAAGGGAGTGTAATACAGAGAAATTACACCTCGCGCTCTGTCAGCTGTTTTGAAGGCAGAAGCAAAACACAAAAAGTGTTCTTGTTTACCCAGGTTCTATCAGCCTCCCAATTACTCTTGATAGCAAAGTAAACTGTAATTTGAGCTTTGTGAGTCTCTCACTACAAGGCAGATTTCTGTAGCCTTTTTATCTCTTTCCATCACAGTGGTTATCTTTTTTTTTAAGTGTCTGACTCAGAACTCCATTTTATATTCACAATCTTACAAGCATCAGATATGCAACGAGGAGTTAATATGCGCTGCTGTTTCTGCCTGTTAGTTCCTTGCTTATGCTTTCAAAGAGCATGTTCATCCTCTAAGAAGAATGCATGCTGAGCTCATATTCAATTAATTATCTGTCATGATTCCCTGAATCCTTCCTTCAGCATTCCAGGACAGTGTCACGACATGACACAGGTCACAGAATACATATTCTATCATCCTTTGTCTGGCTGAAGTTATAAATCCTTACCAAGTGTGTCACCATATTGAGTATTTAGGATAATCTATGTAACTAGGGCCATTATTACCTACTATTTTGGGGGAAACAGCAGGTTTTCTATATTACTGGTAATGAACGGTGTTTGATCTGCTGGCCTTCTTGGAAAGACTGTCTTCTGATTAGCTGAATATACAATAACTTGCAATGATTTGTGTGCCTTCAACTCGTTATAGGGCTATGATGGATTTTGGGGCAATACTGCTTTTTTTTTTAGCAAAATATCTTGTGGGAGTATATTTAAAAATATTGTGAACAACTGTACTGGGTCTGGCTGGGATGAACCTAATTTTCTTCATAGCAGCCTGTATGGTGCTGTGTTCTGGACTGCTGAATAAAAGAGTGTCGATAACACACCAGTGTTTTGACTGTTGCTGAGCAGTGCCTGCACAACATAAAGGTGTTTTTTTCCCACCCCCAGCGAGTAGCCCGGGGGTGTACAAGAAGCTGTGAGGGGACACAGCGAGGACAGTTGACCTGAACTGACCAGAGATATTCCATACCGTATAACGTCCTGCTCAGCAATAAGAGCTCATGTAATGGAGGAGGAAAGCAAGATGTTCATGGTTATGGTGTTTATCTTCCCAAGTAACCATTATGTGTGCTGAGGCCCTGCTTCCCAGGAAGTGGCTAAATATCTGCCTGCTGATGGGAAGTAGTGGATGGATTCCTTATTTTGCTTTGCTTGCATATGCAGCTTTGCTTCACCTATTAAACTGTCTTTATCTCGACCCATGAGTTTTCTCACTTGTGCTTTTCCAAATCTCTCCCCCATCCCACTGGGAGAAGTCAGCAAGCAACTGGGTGGGCACTTAGTGTCTGCCAGGGTCAACCCACCACATTAACCAACCTTGTGATTAAAACTAAAATCAAGCTTGTCTGACAAACTAAGTGGCACCAGATAAAGTGTAATCTGCCATTTACTATTTGTGTTCCCTTCATCTGCCCCATGATTTAGCAGTTAGCGTAAGAAAGGTAACACCCCTGCAGTTCCCTGAGTCCTATTTGCCTTTGAAAGACAGCTACATCAGCTCTCTTCCAATTACCTGAAAATTACCTAGTCTTTAAAGATTATTAAAAATGAATAGTTCAGGTTCAGAGAGCTCCTTACCCATTTCTTTTGATGCTCATATGTGTTATGTTTTATACTTGTGTAAGATTTTCTCTTTGGTATTGTCCCTATTTATAGTTAGAACTAAAGTATTCTGCTGTGGTTGCAAGATGCAGATATCCCACTTCTCTTCGGTTTATTAACTATTTACTTCCTCAGAACTGACTACTTACTCAGAACTGACTATTTACTCATTCTTTTCTTTTTACCAAACCTTTAGCACTGCTAGGATTTCATAGGTTCTTAATTTTTGAATTGCATGCTTTTCAGACTTGATGACTGCTCCCTTTGGTTTTCCTTATAATTGCCCATGTTTTCCAAGAGCTGATTTGTACTCATGTCTACTCATGCCACTATATCCTCCACTGTGCAGAAAAGCCCATCCATAATGTAATACTGTTCCCAGTAACAATCAAGTGTTTAATCCTATGCTGAATGAAATCAATGGACCAGCTCTCAGGAGGGAACCATGCTGTAAGGAAAAATGTCAAAAATGCATGATATGTATGTGTAATCTTTAGCAGCCTTCAATCCAGTTACTACCTTACTGTTGTGCTATTTAAACTGTGACAAAACTACAGCACTATAACGCTCCCAGACTTTTTTTTCATAATTCATTAAATTAACAAAACCTGAAGTAGTTCAGACTCTGTGTCATTCCTCAGGATTACTGTTTACTTGAAGAGTTCCAACACCTAGGGCTATTTAAACACCAAATGGAAACTGGTCCTGGCCCCAAACATTTTACACAATGATATCACCCAATTGTCTTTCTTAAG